AACTAATCTGATGCTCATACTTGCTGCCTCCACTCTATGCCCTCTAGTAATTAACAAGAAAGAAGCACAGCAAGTGAGCGGGCAACATATTTACACTCATAATGGTTTTTAGAGTCGAACAAATGTGTTTTGTGATTAAATCAGAATGTTCACTTGCTCCTAGAACTGAAAATTAAATAATTAAAGAAAAAATTAAAAAGGTTAAACGAACTCTCTCAATATTTCTTTTTTTTTGCTTCTCTACTTTTACAACCGTAACGGAAGCATATGCTCTTTCAACTGTCAAGAACAATGCGTCCTATTCAATCGGCAAACAAGAATAGCTTGCAATGTGAAAATTCATAAGCAAAGTGGATTTTTAGATGTTTTGTCTAAACAGATCAAATATCGGTCCAGGGCAAATTATGCATAACTGCCTAGAATGCGAAGATGATAGGTCCTTAAACTATGGGCATTTCCCATTATCAATTCTGTTTTAGAAGGATAAAGAAGTAGAAATCCAAAGAGAAGTCCTAGAAACAATCGGAAAGTTCAAAATGGCTGTGCTGGTTATTGACGTCCAAAATGATTTTGTCACGGGATCATTGAAGGTGCCGGTAAGCTCTTTTCATCAATCACAAGAAATGAAACAAAAACTAAAATAAAGCAATTTATCCACAATTTCCACTATAACTATCAAATAAAAAGCAAACTCATTACTTAGAGTATTTGTTCTTGCAAAAGTTTCAACTAAATAGCGAAGTAAAACGGATTTGATTTTACGCACACATATTTTTTCAGGGAGCTGTTGGTATAATCCCAGTCATTAATGATTTGGTTGAACAAAAAGGTCTCCAAATGGTCGCATACACATACGTAAGTATTTGTGTTTTGATTTACGAGATAGTAGGAACTTTAAAACTATGGTAAACAAAACATGTGGTAATTCCCTCCAGAAAACCTCTAGCCAAAATTCAAAACAATTCAGAACAAAGTATTATAGTAAGAATCAGTGATGCTTAGTTCGTGTTATCCGTATCTCTTCGTTTAGGACTGGCATCCAAATGACCATCTCTCGTTTGTTGATTGTGTCAACAACACGGACAGGATTGTAAAAAAGGGAACACCGAAAGCCTTTGAAGTAGTGGAGTTCTA